TGGGGTGTGGTAGGTAAGGTTGGGGTGTGGTAGGTAGGCTGGGGGTGTGGTAGTAAGGCTGGGGGTGTGGTAGGTAAGGCTGGGGGTGTGGTAGGTAAGGGCTGGGGTGTGGTAGGTAAGGCTGGGGTGTGGTAGGTAAGGCTGGGGTGTGGTAAGTAGGGCTGGGGTGTGTGGTAAGTAAGGCTGGGGTGTGGTAGGTAAGGCTGAGGGTGTGGTAGGTAGGGCTGGGGTGTGGTAGGTAAGGCTGGGGTGTGTAGGTAGGCTGGGGTGTGGTAAGTAGGGCTGGGGTGTGGTAGGTAAGGCTGGGGTGTGGTAGGTAAGGCTGGGGTGTGGTAGTAGGCTGGGTGTGGTAGGTAAGGCTGGGGTGTGGTAGTAGGCTGGGGTGTGGTAAGGTAGGGCTGGGGTGTGATAGGTAGGGCTGGGGTGTGGTAAGGTAAGGCTGGGGTGTGGTAGGTAGGCTGGGGGTGTGGTAAGTAAGGCTGGGATGTGGTAGGTAGGCTGGGGTGTGGTAAGTAAGGCTGGGGTGTGGTAGGTAGGGCTGGGGTGTGGTAAGGTAAGGTGGCGTGTGGAGTAAGTGGGTAGGGTAAGGGCTGGGGTGTGGTAGGTAGGGCTGGGGTGTGGTAGGTAGGGCTGGGGTGTGGTAAGTAAGGCTGGGGTGTGGTAGGTAAGGCTGGGGTGTGTGTGGGTAAGTAAGTGCTGGGGTGGTAGTAGGCGGGTGTGTAGGTAAGGCTGGGGGTGTGGTAAGTAAGGCTGGGTGTGGTAGGTAAGGCTGGGGTGTGTAAGTAAGGCTGGGGTGTGGTAGGTAGGCTGGGGTGTGGTAGGTAAGGGCTGGGGTGTGCTAAGTAAGGCTGGGGTTGTGGTAGGTAAGGCTTGGGGTGTGGGTTGGTAAAGGCTGGGGTGGCTAAGTAAGCTGGGGTGTGGTAGGTAGGGCAGGGGTGTGGTTGGTAAGGCTGGGGTGTGGTAAGTAAGGCTGGGGTGTGGTAGTAAGGCTGGGGTGTGTGGTAAGGCTGGGGCGTGCTAAGTAAGGCTGGGGTGTGGTAGGTAAGGCTGGGGTGTGGTAGGTAAGGCTGGGTGTGGTAAGGTAAGGCTGGGGTGTGGTAGGTAAGGCTGGGGTGTGGTAGGTAGGGCAGGGGTGTGGTTGGTAAGGCTGGGGTGTGGTAAGTAAGGCTGGGGTGTGATAGGTAGGCAGGGGTGTGGTTGGTAAGGCTGGGGTGGTAGGTAAGGCTGGGGTGTGGTAGGTAGGGCTGGGGTGTGGTAGGTAGAGGCAGGGGTGTGGTATGTAAGGCTGGGGTGTGGTAGGTAAGGCTGGGGGTGGTAAGTAAGGCTGGGGTGTGGTAGGTAGGCAGGGGTGTGGTTGGTAAGGCTGGGGGTGTAGTAAGGCTGGGGTGTGGTAGGTAAGGCTGGGGTGTGGAGGTAACGGCTGGGGTGTGGTTGGTAAGGCTGGGGTGTGGTTGGTAAGGCTGGGGTGTGGTATGGTAGGGCTGGGGTTGGTAGGTAAGGCTGGGGTGTGGTAGGTAAGGCTGGGGTGTGTGTAGGGAGGAGGCTGGGGTGCGGTTAAGTAAGGCTGGGGTGTGGTAGGTAAGGCTGGGGTGTAGTAGGTAAGGGCTGGGGTGTGGTTGGTAAGGCTGGGGTATGGTAGGTAAGGCTGGGGTGTTGTAGGTAAGGCTGGGTGTGTAGGTAGTAGGCTGGGGTGTGGTAGGTAAGGTTAGGTGTGTGGTAAGGCTTGGTGTGGTAGGTAAGGCTGGGGTGTGGTAAGGTACAGGCTGGGGTGTGGTAGGTAAGGCTGGGGTGTGGTTGGTAAGGCTGGGGTGTGGTAGGTAAGGCTGGGGTGTGGTAGGTAAGGCTGGGGTGTGGTAGGTAAGGCTGGGGTGTGGTAGGTAAGGCTGGGGTGGGTAGATAAGGCTGGGTGTAGTAGGTAAGGCTGGGGTGTGGTAGGTAAGGCTGGGGTGTGTTGGTAAAGCTGGGGTGTGGTAGGTAAGGCTGGGTGTTGGTAGGTAAGGCTGGGGTTGTGGTAGGTAAGGCTGGGGTGTGGTAGGTAAGGCTGGGTGTGGTAGGTAAGGCTAGGTGTAGTAGGTAAGGCTGGGGTGTGGTAGGTAAGGCTGAGGTGTAGTAGGTAAGGCTGGGGTGTGGTAGGTAAGGCTTAGGTGTGGTAGGTAAGGCCGGGGTGTGGTAGGTAAGGCTGGGGTGTGGTTGGTAAGGCTGGGGTATGGTAGGTAAGGCTGGGGTGTGGTAGGTAAGGCTGGGGGATTGGTAGGGGGAAGGCTGGGGGTGTGGTAGGTAAGGCTAGGTGTGTTGGTAAGGCTTAGGGTGTGGTAGGTAAGGCTGGGGTGTGGTAGGTAAGGCTGGGGTGTGGTAGGTAAGGCTGGGGTGTGGTTGGTAAGGCTGGGGTGTGGTAGGTAAGGCTGGAGTGTGGTAGGTAAGGCTAGGTGGGAGGTGGGTGGTAGTAACTGGGGTGTGGTAGTAAGGCTGAGGTGTAGTAGGTAAGGCTGGGGTGTGGTAGGTAAGGCTGGGGTGTGGTAGGTAAGGCTGGGGTGTGGTAGATAAGGCTGAGGTGTAGTAGGTAAGGCTGGGGTGTGGTAGGTAAGGCTGGGGTTGTGGTTGGTAAGGCTGGGTGTGGTAGGTAAGGCTGGAGTGGTGTGGTAGGTAAGGCTGGGGTGTGGTAGGTAAGGCTGGGTGGTGTGGTAGATAAGGCTGAGGTGTGTAGGTAAGGCTTGGGGTGTGGTAGGTAAGGCGGGGTGTGGTAGGTAAGGCTGGGGGTTGTAGGTAGATAAGGCTGAGGGTGTAGTAGGTAAGGCTGGGGGTTAAGCTGGGGTGTGGTAGGTAAGGCTGGGGTGTGGTTGGTAAGCTGGGGTGTGGTAGGTAAGGCTGGAGTGTGGTAGGTAAGGCTGGGGTGTGGTAGGTAAGGCTGGGGTGTGGTAGGTAAGGCTGGGGTGTGGTAGATAAGGCTGAGGTGTGTAGGTAAGGCTGGGGTGTGGTAGGTAAGGCTGGGGTGTATATGGTAAGGCTGGGGTGTGGTAGGTAAGGCTGGGTGTGTAGGAGCTTGGTGTAAGGCTGGGGTGTGGTAGGTAAGGCTGGGGTGTGGTAGATAAGGCTGAGGTGTAGTAGGTAAGGTGGGGTGTGGTAGGTAAGCTGGGGTGTGGTTGGTAAGGCTGGGGTGTGGTAGGTAAGGCTGGGTGTGGTAGGTAAGGCTGGGGTGTGGTAGTAAGGCTGGGGTGGTAGAGGTAAGGCTGGGGTGTGGTAGGTAAGGCTGGGGTGTGGTAGGTAAGGCTGGGGTGTGGTAGGTAAGGCTGGGGTGTGGTAGATAAGGCTGAGGTGTAGTAGGTAAGGCTGGGGTGTGGTAGGTAAGGCTGGGGTTGTGGTAGGTAAGCTGGGGTGTGGTAGGTAGGTTGGGTGTGGTAGTAAGGCTGGGTGTGTAGGTAAGGCTGGGGTGTGGTAGGTAAGGCTGGGGTGTGGTAGGTAAGGCTGGGGTGTGGTAGGTAAGGCTGGGGTGTGGTAGGTAAGGCTGGGGTGTGGTAGGAAGGCTGGGGTGTGGTAGGTAAGGCTGGGGTGTGGTAGGCAAGGCTGGGGTGTGGTAGGCAAGGCTGGGGTGTGGTAGGCAAGGCTGGGGTGTGGTAGGTAAGGCTGGGGTGTGGTAGATAAGGCTGGGGTGTGGTAGGTAAGGCTGGGGTGTGGTAGGCAAGGCTGGGGTGTGGTAGGTAAGGCTGGGGTGTGGTAGGCAAGGCTGGGGTGTGGTAGGCAAGGCTGGGGTGTGGTAGGCAAGGCTGGGGTGTGGTAGGAAGGCTGGGGTGTGGTAGGTAAGGCTGGGGTGTGGTAGAGGCTGGGTGTGGTAGGTAAGGCTGGGGTGTGGTAGGTAAGGCTGGGGTGTGGTAGGCAAGGCTGGGGTGTGGTAGGCAAGGCTGGGGTGTGGTGGAAGTCTTCAGGTGTCAGATCAACAACAGTAGAAACAGTAAGAAAATAAACAAGTCGGTTGGGCAGTTAGAGATACAATCACAAGAAAGTTTAAACAATATCGATAAATATATTGAAAGAAAGATTGAAAAGAAAATTCATAACACCTTACAGTAAAAAAAAAGTGGACCTGTAGCAGAAAAAGAGGAAAGTAGAGACATATGTTAGTACAGGTGAAGACGCTCCAGCAGTGAACTTGTCTACTCCTTGAAAAACATTCTTACATTACTTTATAGTTTGGTTTAGAGATCGTGTTGATGATGTGTTAAATTATGCCATGTTATTTATCTCTTATATTACAGTTTTAAAACATTTATTATTGCTAATATCAAAATATTGAACATTTATGGTTGACACAGTTGATGGAGAGGATGAAATGGTCAGTCTGCAGTTGCTAATTTTTAATTACTAATTATAATTTATTTATTTTTACTTACAAGTGTACAATAACTAATTTTTATTTACTGATTTGTAATAACATGGAATTGACTGTATTTGAGAAAGCTAGTTCATTTGTTTATTTTATACACAATTGTTGTTTCCTCTTTGTTGTATCTCATTTATTCTTTGTTATTCACCAACTTGCTGGTTCCCTCTCTGTTTGTTTTCACAGTTTTTCCAGTTGTCATTTGACTGACTATACAAGTGGCGCCCCTCAAGGGTGAGGGGCTCTTGATCTATGGAATTGGATCTGTGCTCCAGTTCCCTGAATTAAGCTTGATTATAATCATGGGGCGCTAAACCCGTAGGGATTATACAGTGCCTGTAGGGAGGATGGAAGGTATTCAGGCTTAATTCAGGGAACTGGAGCACAGATCCAATTCCAGAGATCAAGAGCCCCGCACCAGCGTCAAGGAACCTCCCTTGAGGGGAGATTAAGCCTAAATGCCTTCCATATCACCCCCATCCCCTCCACACACACACAAGAGCTGTCTAAGCCCTACGGGTTTATCACTTCCCCCCACACACAGGAACTGTCTAATGCCTATGGGTTTAACTCTCCCCCATAATAATAATTTACAGGTGACAGAAATATGTGATTTTACTTGCAGGTGTTAAGAGTAATGCGGCACTTCCCCCCTGAGACACGTGTCATGACAGCTGTCCGCTTCAGCAAAGCTCTGTATGCTCAGCTCTCAGCTCACCGCTACACTCCTGACTCTCGCACTGGCTGGAATATGCCTTCCCCTCTACACCCGGAGTTTAAAGCTCGTGATGTTGGCATGAAACTGGTGAGAATTAATGCGGATTTGCACTCAGCATTTTCTTTATTTTTTGTGTTGTGTTGGAAGAAATTGTGTACTTCGTGATTTGTTTGTAATTGTTTGGGCCAGTAGGCCTACTCCAGTGTTCATTCTTATGCTCATATGTTTAATGCAAGGAATGCCAGAAGCTGTGTCTTGTTATATGGGTGCCAGAAAAACATATGCGATTATCAAGACATTTATTAAGGATACATTTCGCCCACCAATGGCTTCTTCAGTCCAGTGTCTCAGTAAATTAGTTTATTTAGGCACAGGTAAACATAAGTACAATTATCATACATAGTGTAAATTACCCACCAGGATAACCCAAAAAAGTCAGTGACTTATTTTCAATTTTGACTTCTAAATGTAGTCTGTTCTCAGAACAGTCAGTCAGTCCTCTTATAGAGCTCCTTTGTTTACTGACTTTTTTCATATATGTGATTGAAAAAGTACATCCGAAGTTGAATAACACATGAAAAGGCTTTCATATTATGTTTTTTCAATTTTCCATAAATGTTTTCAAAAAACATGAAAAATTGTACTATATAGAGGAGCTGTGTAAGAAAATTGGCTGTATTGTATATGAAATTAAGAAAATTGGGTTGGTTGTAAGGACAGTATTACATCTAGTTGGTATACAACCATCTTCAATTACAGTGGTCCCCCAGGTTTATGATATTATTTCATTCCAGAAGTATGTTCAGGTGCCAGTACTGACCGAATTTGTTCCCATAAGGAATATTGTGAAGTAGATTAGTCCATTTCAGACCCCCAAACATACACATACAAACGCACTTACATAAATACACTTACATAATTGGTCGCATTGGGAGCTGATCGTAAACCGGGGGTCCACTGTATATTATTATTATTATTATGGTTAAGACAAATATATAAATTGGAAACTTTCCAGGCAGGCAAAACATTGAATATGGTTTCCAAGTATTGTTTTTGTCTTTATTATCTGCAGAAAATACTTATAGAAACATTTGAGAGAAACCTTGTCTAACAGAGAGTTCCTCTGCTGTTTCTTTGTTTGACTCTAAGAAGTATTGACCTGTGAATTAATGTAACTTACATATTTTATTTTTCATACCAATACTTTAGAAATCACCCAGAGTGTAATGTATGGCTTTACAACACGCAGGCTTGTGGTTTTGAATTGTTGGTGTGTAGTGCTGGTGGAGTGACGCCAGTCTCTACGCCCTCTGACACTTCTACTCCAGACATCAACTCACAACTTGATCTAGCTGCCAATCCTCGATGGACTCGTTATCTACAATCTCTAATTGAAAAAGGATATTTTCGGGTAGGTGTTTATGAGAGTTCTAGTGTGATGACAGAAAAAATGTGAATGATGCTTTGAGGTATCCGTGGAGACAAAAAACCTTATCCATGGAAGCAAAGAAGGTGTGGCATGCAAAGAAGTACTAAGGGTTTAATGAAAATTAAGGTACCAGTCATTAAATCAGTACCTTGGTTCATTGGCCAATCACAGACAAGCCTGCCAAAGTTTAAGCAACGTGGGTCACTTGTGGTAAGCATTGGCAGACTTGCCTAGCTGTTGGTTGAGCATGGTGCACTCTCTCTAGCTTCTGCTTTGCCATATGTCACCGTGGTGTGCACTTTCTGTTCCATATGTACATAGTGTACATACTTGTATGTATCATCTGGTGAAGGTAAATATACTTTATAATTCAGTTTTGTTTGCTCCACATTTCCATTACGACCAGGTCTCACAGGCCATTTTTTACCTGTGTTCGTCATGGAAGGAAATGTACGAGTGTATAGTGGTACCAACACACTTATGTGGGTGTGAAGCTTGGTTTGTAAATGCTGCAGCGAGGAGGATGCTGGAGACAGCAGAGATGTCATGTCTAAGGGCAATGTGTGGTGTAAGTATTATGCAGAAAATTAGGAGGTGTGGCATTACTAAAAGTGGTAGGTAAGACACGTAAGCAACAGTTAGGCAGCTTTATTCCGAAATGTTTCCCCCACACAGTAGGCTTCTTCAGTCGAATACAGAAAGTAGGCAGGAACAGTAGAGATGTGAAGACGATGTAATCAGTCCATCACCCTTAAAGTCATAGATTTGAGGTTGTCAGTCCCTCAGCCTGGAGAAGTTCAGTTCCATAGTCAGGAACTATCTGAAGATCAAGAGACAGTGCGGAGACTTTAATACTGTCAGAAGGAGAGGTGCAGAGTAGTAGTAGTGAGAAAGCAACCACTGAGAGGTCACGTCCCTCTCAGATCAAACATTTCTCACTTGAAAAAGTTGTCCAAGGTTTTTCTGTACCAAGATGCCATTGTGTTGCAGTGTCTGACAGGATGAATATCAAAATGGTATACAATACCAACAGATTGGTAGGTAAGACACAATGGCATCTTGGTACAGAAAACACCTTGCACAACTTTTTCAAGTGAGAAATGTTTGATCTGAGAGGGACATGTCCTCTCAGTGGCTGCTTTCTCACTACTACTACTCTGCACCTCTCCTTCCAACAGTATTTAAGTCTCCGCACTGCCGCTTGATCTTCAGATAGTTCCTGACTATGGAACTGAACTTCTCCAGGCTGAGGGACTGACAACCTCAAATCTACGACTTTAAGGGTGATGGACTGATTACATCGTCTTCACATCTCTACTGTTCCTGCCTACTTTTTGTATTCGATTGAAGAAGCCTACTGTGTAGGCGAAACGTTTCAGAATAAAGCTGCCTAACTGTTGCCTATGTGTCTTACCTACCAATCTGTCGGTATTGTATACCATTTTGATATTCATTACTAAAAGTATTAGTCAGAGGGTGGAAAAGGGGGTTGTTATAGTGATTTGGTCATTTAGAGAGGATGGAACAAAGTAGAATGACTTGGAGAGCATATAAATCTGTAGAGGAAGGAAAGCAGGATAGGGGTCATCCTAGGAAGGGTTGGAGGGAGGGGGTAAAGGAGGTTTTGTAGGCGAGGGGCTTAGACTTCCAGCAAGTGTGCATGAGCGTGTTCAATAAGCATGAATGGAGACGAATGGTTTTTGGGACCTGACAAGCTGTTGGAGTGTGAGCAGGGTAATTTTTGTGAAGGGACTCAGGGAAACTGGTTAGTCGGACATTAGTTCTGGACGTGGGAAGTATAGAACAATGCCTTCACTTTAAAGGAAGAGTTTGGGATATTAGCAGTTTGAAGTGACATCTAAACTGTTGTATCTGAGCACCTCTGCAAAGACAATGATTATGTATGAGTGATGATGAAAGCGTTGAATGATGATGAAAGTCTTCTTCCTTTTTGGGTCACCCTGCCTCAGTGGGAACTGGCCAACATGTTAAAAAATTATATCTTGCTTTCAACACACCGGCTGCATCCCACCGAGGCGGGGTGGCCCAAAAGGAAAAACGAAAGTTTCTCCTTTTACATTTAGTAATATATACAGGAGAAGAGGTTACTAGCCCATGCGTTGAGGTATATGTGGAGTCAAAAAACGTTATCTATGGAGGCAAACAAGGGAATGTATGAAAGTATAGTAGTACCAACACTCTTATATGGGTGTGAAGCTTGGGTGGTAAATGCAGCAGCGAGGAGACGGTTGGAGGCAGTGGAGATGTCCTGTTTAAGGGCAATGTGTGGTGTAAATATTATGCAGAAAATTCGGAGTGTGGAAATTAGGAGAAGGTGTGGAGTTAATAAAAGTATTAGTCAGAGGGCAGAAGAGGGGTTGTTGAGGTGGTTTGGTCATTTAGAGAGAATGGATCAAAGTAGAATGACATGGAAAGCATATAAATCTATAGGGGAAGGAAGGCGGGGTAGGGGTCGTCCTCGAAAGGGTTGGAGAGAGGGGGTAAAGGAGGTTTTGTGGGTAAGGGGCTTGGACTTCCAGCAAGCGTGCGTGAGCGTGTTAGATAGGAGTGAATGGAGACGAATGGTACTTGGGACCTGACGATCTGTTGGAGTGTGAGCAGGGTAATATTTAGTGAAGGGATTCAGGGAAACCGGTTATTTTTATATAGTCGGACTTGAGTCCTGGAAATGGGAAGTACAATGCCTGCACTTTAAAGGAGGGGTTTGGGATATTGGCAGTTTGGAGGGATATGTTGTGTATCTTTATGTGTGTATGCTTCTAGACTGTTGTATTCTGAGCACCTCTGCAAAAACAGTGATAATGTGCGAGTGTGGTGAAAGTGTTGAATGATGAAAGTATTTTCTTTTTGGGGATTTTCTTTCTTTTTTTGGGTCACCCTGCCTCGGTGGGAGACGGCCGACTTGTTGAAAAAAAAAAAAAAAAAAAAAAAATATATATATATATATATATATATATATATATATATATAATATATATATATATATATATATATATATATATATATATATATATATATATATATATATATAATATATATATATAGTAGGTTGGTAGACAGCAACCACCCAGGGAGGTACTACCGTCCTGCCAAGTGAGTGTACAACAAAAGCCTGTAATTGTTTTACATGATGGTAGGATTGCTGGTGTCTTTTGTCTGTCTCATAAACATGCAAGATTTCAGGTATGTCTTGCTACTTCTACTTGCATTTAGGTCACACTACACATACATGTACAAGCATATATATACACACACCCCTCTGAGTTTTCTTCTATTTTCTTTCTAGTTCTTGTTCTTGTTTATTTCCTCTTACCTCCATGGGGAAGTGGAACAGAATTCTTCCTCCGTAAGCCATGCGTGTTGTAAGAGGCGACTAAAATGCCGGGAGCAAGGGGCTAGTAACCCCTTCTCCTGTATATATTACTAAATTTGAAAGGAGAAACTTTGGTTTTTTCTTTTGGGCCACCCTGCCTCGGTGGGATACGGCCGGTGTGTTGAAAGAAGAAAGATATATATATATATATATATATATATATATATATATATATATATGTCTTTCTTTCTTTCTTTCAACACACCGGCCGTATCCCACCGAGGCGGGGTGGCCCAAAAGAAAAAACCAAAGTTTCTCCTTTCAAATTTAGCAACATATACAGGAGAAGGGGTTACTAGCCCCTTGCTCCCGGCATTTTAGTCGCCTCTTACAACACGCATGGCCTACGGAGGAAGAATTCTGTTCCGCTTCCCCATGGAGATAAGAGGAAATAAACAAGAACAAGAACTAGAAAGAAAATGGAAGAAAACCCAGAGGGGTATGTATATATACGCTTGTACATGTATATGTAGTGTGACCTGAGTGTAAGTAGAAGTAGCAAGACGTACCTGAAATTTTGCATGTTCATGAGACAGAAAAAAGGACACCAGCAATCCTACCATCATGTAAAACAATTACAGGCTTTCGTTTTACACTCACTTGGCAGGACGGTAGTACCTCCCTGGGCAGTTGCTGTCTACCAACCTACTACCTAGATACAGTGGACCTCCGGTTAACGAACTTTTTTCATTCCAGTAGTATATTCAGGTGCCAGTACTGACCGAATTTTTTCCCATAAGGAATATTGTGAAGTAGATTAGTCCATTTCAGACCCCCAAACATACACGTACAAACGCACTTACATAAATACACTCACATAATTGGTCGCTTTTGGAGGTGATCGTTAAGCGGGGGTCCACTGTATATATATATGTGTGTGTGTGTGTGTGTGTGTGTGTGTGTGTGTGTGTGTGTGTGTGTGTGTGTGTGTGTGTGTGTGTCACTCCGAATAGGTAAAACTGGTCAATTAACAAGAACTCATTTAAAATTAAGTCTTTCAAAAATTTTCTCTTATACATATAAGATATATTTTTTCATTTATGTTAATGTAAAACTTAATAATTTTGTACCTTAAGAACCTTAGAAAACTTACCTAACCTTATTATAACAAATGCAATTTAATTTAGCCAAATCCAACTAAATATATTTTAGATAAGTTTACAATAATTTAATAAACAAATACAATGAAATATTTTTTTTGTTAGGTTCAGAATGATTTTTGTGAAGTTACTTCATACACAAATTTTTGCTTGCCTTGTTCGGCAAGAAGAGCATTGCTTATTAAGCCAAAATCGCAAGTTTTACCCATTCGGCGCGACATATATCTTTGTCTTTCAACAAACCAGTCGTATCCCACCTAGGCAGGGTGGCCCAAAAAGAAAAAGAAAAGTTTCTCTTATTAATTTTAGTAATGTATACAGGAGAAGGGAGTTACTAGCCTTTTGCTCCCAGCATTTTAGTCGCTTCTTACAGCACGCATGGCTTATGGAGGAAGAATAATTTTCCGCTTCCCCACGAAGATCGAGAAAAACAAGAACTATTAAGAAAATAGAAGAAAACTCAGATGGTATATTAATACATGTATATA